TTGTGCGGCGGCGCCGGTGGTTGTCGCGTCGATCTCGGCGGTGGGTTGTCGGGAAGTTTCGTTTTTATGAGGTTTTTACAACAAGTTCAACAATTCTCTTCCGTCTGCGAGGACGAAAACAACGACGACAACGCGAGATTAGGATCTGATAATCATAACAACGACAAGGTAAAACATATTATTAATAAAAGAGATTATAGAAGAGATAATCACGATTCTTGTTTCATGGCGGATCAAGAAGAGCCAAGAACTAATTATGGGTCAAGCTCCAAGGACAAGACCAGCAACAACGGCGACACCACTAACCCTAACACCAACTCCGGTACCGATATTAACACCCATGACGAGATAAAAGAAGAAGGCTGGCTCCGGCTAGGCATAAGCGGCCAAACCAGTGAGGCCAAACCGGATGAGAAAACCGGCCTTGATCACCTCAGTGTTGATCATCAAGCCGATCCGACAGCTGTGAGAGAAGATTCAATGCTACAGCTTAACCTTTTGACTGGCGGTTCGAGCAGATTCCCCGGTCAAGAAGACGTTCCACTTGCAACGTTGCCTCTTGCCAACACCAGTTTTAGGATTGGACCGTCTTTGTCGCATCAATATCATCATCATCAAGCCGGAGGGATGATGAGTCGGGTTATGTTTCGGACAGGACGTGAAGAAATGCTCGATTCTTGGACAGCGTTTAGACCGCCTTTTGTTCCGCAGAATCTAACGCCGTCTCCTTCCTTGATGATGCCATTGATGGGTTCTTACTTCACTCCTTCGACGATTCAGCCGCCATTAATGGGGACGTCGAGTTACACCGACGTTTCGCCCAGTCCAATTAGATCGAGTTTTAGAGTCATCGAACCTCCGAGGAGACCTCATTCCGGCCTTTGGTTCGTCCTTCAAGCTTCACAAAACCAGTAAGTTCAAACAAAATATTTGTTATTATCTTCAAGATTTCGATTCTTGGTTCTTGATCGGATCAGAGATTAACTGTTGATCCGTGGGCGCCTTAAAGAATCTATTCACTCGGTTTCTTTTTTGTTTTCCCCTTCGTTCGTGAACATTTCAAGGGCTAGAGAGCCGTTTTTGCCTCAGATACCGAAGAGCTACTTGAGAATCAAGTGAGTACATTTTGGTTAACTAATGTACCATTATTGTTCGTCTTAATCTCTTGGACCGTTAATTTATATGATGACAACATTTTTTTTCTGCTCAAAAGTTGATTTCGCTTTTTTTTTTTCTTGGATCGGTAGGGACGGCGGGATGACGGTTCGACTGTTGATGAAATATTTGGTGAACAAGTTGCAATTGGAGCACGAATCCGAGGTACATATTTTCCATCTCACTTCACTTCCCTTTTACTTTATTTCACAGTTTCCATGCACATTAATTGCTTGCCGTAGCTGCAAACCCTTCATGCATGAAATATATTTGATATATAATAAGATGATATCGAATATATATACAACTCGAAACATTTAAAAAAAAAATGCAAGAGTGAATTGAACATGCGGATGGGGTTGGTGTAAGGAAAGTGACAGGAACGTGGGAACTAAGTTTCATTGTCTCCATGTTCATTAGGTCACAAGTACATGTCTCGCTAGGTATGGCTGTTTTGTTCTTTTATCCCCTAATATTAGTATTTTTTTTTGTCTTGTTTGGGAGATTAATCATTGATTTGCATAATCAGGGGAATCTAACTGATAAACGGTCGGACCATTTGTGTCTGATTCTGCTATCAGTTTTTAATTAAAGTCAGTATGCGATGGTTGCGTTGCATGTATATGCCATATATATATATCTATATATGTATGTGTGCTAGTAGGTACACTTCTGTTTGTATATGGCAATGCCACCTACCGATCTATACATATACGACATATATTTTATATATATGTGTGTGTGTGTGTGTGAAAAGGAAAGAAATGGCTTATTTCCTTTTTTAATATAAGATGTATGGGGTTAGAGTTTTAGGACATTGAAACAATTATAGGAAAGAATCTCTAGTATGCCTGCATGCATTAGAAATCTTTTAGAAATTAACAATCTTTTCAAACTCAAAAAAGTATATATATATACACACACACACACATTCACAACCCTTCGTATACATATGCAAATATACAAAGCTAGATATGGACTGCCATGCGTGTGATAGTCTTTATCAGATAAAGATATCGTCTTTTCAAATTATAAATGCATAAAATATCGAAAATCTAGCAAGAAATGATGCCCCCTCCACATATAAACGAACAAAGATGATGATGACGAGTTCAAAATAGTACTTCATATATATACACACACACACATATATATATATATATATATATATATATATATATTCAGGTCTTCAAGTTTAAACGCATCGATCGAGAACTTGGGCAATTTTCCATAGGATTCATCCCAGTCACTGTCAAGTCGTTATCAAACGCGACTGAGACGTGTAACGACAAAATCAAAACACATTTCATGGTTATAAGATTTCAACGTGCATTATGTATATGTACGTGTGTGTATATATGTGTATAATGCCATAACTAGTAATGATCTCAAATGATGGATATGATAAAAGTGGTTTGACATTTGCACGATAACTAGTTTTATAATCTTATGATTAGAATTCACAAACAAAAAGTCTAATTCTCCATCGCAGAGTAAAAAATAAATTGGATTCCCGAAAATTTTCATGCTTCTGGAGCAAACTTTCATCATTGGTATGTGTGCATTTGTGAGCATAATACACATATATAACTTTTGTAATCCCCGCGTGTGCATGTATATATATATATATATATATATATATATATAATGATTTAAAATATTTGATGTCTCTTTTGTGTGCCAAGGGTCATTCTTTTAGTTTTATAACATATATATATACACACACATATAATATGTATGTGTGTAGCATCCATAATCATTACTGTTTTAACGTAAATATCTTCCACGATCGGGTCTTCTGTTTAATAATCACCAAAAAAAAAAATGAATTACGGTTTTGAATAATTAGATGAGTCAGCAATATCCTCTTCTTTTTGTTTTCTCTTCCGAAATCTTTGAAAGCCATACACGTAAATGTCGAGGAGATAATGGTTAAACCATATAAATATTAATATTAAATAATACACACAGATATGTACACACACATGACAAATATATTTATAGAACTAATGTATAATACATACTCTTTTGTCTAGTTATATTTAAAATAGTAGTTAGAAAAAAAAACAGTCTTTCTTTTGGAGAAATTAACCATATATATACACAAACACACACGCACGCACAAAATATTTATGGTCAATATTATTAAATATAAAAGATACGTTTGGTTGTTAGCATGTTGTCGTGAACAAACATTCCATTTGAAGGTTTTTAATATTAATTAAAACATAATTAAGTTCTTTAACAGAAAAATAAAAATAAAACATAATTAAGTTGGAGCCTATAGATTGAAATGTAGTGCTTAGGTCAACCCTTAATTATGTTTGTTTAAAAATTCATTAATCAATCAACTAAATTTGTTGTTTTGTCTCATTAAGCCATGCCATAACGTATGCCAGATTACAATATTATTGCATATATTATTTGCAGCCAATATAATTAAATCTATTAATGTATCTGTCTGTTTACTCTCTCTACATATGCATGTATATGGATATACTATTTATCAGCTGGAAACCAGCTGTCTCCTAGTTCTCGTATACAAGTAAGAAATAAAATAAAAAGTATGATATATTAATCAAATAAATAATTACTTAAATGTTTGTTATACGAATATGTTATAATTATTCAATACTGTACGTGAGTCATTTTTTTTTTCAATTTCTAACATTATCGGTAGTTAACAAAACCGCCAAATGGATCATATAAACATTAATGGTCAATTTGGTCGGTCTTACAGTTGAAAACAATTATAAACAATATATATAATATCATATACCCACTAGAGAAATATATGTTTGAGGATTTTTAAAATGCTTTTGATCGATAATATACGCTTTTGGAGTAAATATAAAACTTAATTTTTTATGCAATTTTTTTTTTCGAAGGGCTTCTTATGTTTGCAAGGGTTCAACGTGTGTGTGTATATATATATATAAACATATGCATGTATGTTTTATATAATGAACATAGTAATGGAATGGGTATTTAATTTATGTATGTATAAAGATTTTTATGTGGGGCATAGACATCAACAGAGAATAATAAAATCTTATTGCAATGATTATGGAGCCATAATCTGACTTCGTGGAGGCAATGTTCTTTCCTCCGGCCATCTTTTGTCTTTCTCCACCTTCTTAAGTTTGCTTTGACTTTTAAGAACGTAAGAAAACAAAAAGCCTAAAAGCCTAAAAACACATATAAATAAAAAATTAAAACGAAAAAAAATACAAAGAAAAAGGAAAATAAAAAAAAAATCTTATTATTATTATTATTATTATTATTATTATTTCCAATTTTGTTTTGAAAATTGTCTCTGCTTTTCCTGAATTTCAATGTGGAATCTGAATTTACTGCGTACATAAAAAAAGCTTAGACGTCGTGCATCGTCATGCTTACGTACGAGGGGTCGTCTTCTTCTTCTTTATTTTTTTTTTCTAAAAAAAAAAAACAAAGTAAATGGCCCATCATATCATTCCCCAAAATGCTACACTTTTCTAAAACCCTAATGTCATCTTTATTGTCCTATTCATCCAACCGCATATAATTACTCTTGTTTATGTACATAGCCAGAAAGCATGCGTGCATGATGCACATAGGTAGATTTATACTATAAGAAATCATGAAAGTTTCTGTGTGTATAATTAGCTTTAACGCCTATGCAGGCCAATATGTATTTTTTGGTACTACTAAAAATTTCTTTTAATTAACCTGTAATGATAAGTTGGTATCTGTATAAGAACTTTAAATAATAATAATAATAATAATAATAAAAGATAAAATGCATTTTACGTCGTGGGGGAACAATGCATGAAGTTGATTTCAACAGCAGAATCATTCAAATTTGTTGAAAGAAAGAAGAAGAAAAAATTACTAAGCACTAAGGACATAAAGGGACCATGACCGTGTTAGTGAATTCTATGCAAGCAAAATTTTATATACATGACCGTGAATTTAATTATGGCATCTTCTTATTTAATATATATATATATATATATATATATGTATATATTGTTTTGTTCTTTTTTTGTTCTGCTTCTGCGTGTTTGATTTTAACCCCTATTCCGTTTGATTTTCGTAAAAATTGATTTATTGCAATTATTATTATTATTTTATTTTCGTAATCATATTTGTTAATTATATTATTGGTGTTCTCGTTGTTGATGGTTCCATATTTTTTTTGAAAATGGGGAATCTCTTAGAAGCAAAGTGGAGACGACATAACTACGGGTTTCATTTTCACACATTTAGTGACGAAGACTTAAAAACTTTCATATGTACTCTAAAAAATAATAATTATTATTATTATAAAAGCTAATTCCTTCAATTTTACAAAGATATATCACATGCATGCGGACTTTGATCACAAGTGCTTTTCTTATAATTAACCTAATCTATATTTGGTTATACATATTAATCTCTTTTATTTGTTTTGGAACAATGGTTAACTATATATAATTATAATTAATCTTGTATTTTTGTTGTTTGGTGTGAAAATGGAAATGATTTTTTTTATAAAAAAAACAATTAAGCAGATAGAGATAAGATGCAGAGGACAGCAACTCGAGCCAGTGTTGACACTGCAACATGTGAGAGACACGATTTGGAGATCATCTGCCGCAATACAAGACATTAACTCTTCCTCTCACTTCGCTTTGCTTCCAAGCTCGTCAACCTCTCATCATCTCATGGTCCTTCATTATGGTAGGAGCCTTTTTTAATTATTATTTTCATTTTATTTATCATCAAAAAATGACATCCATTATTAACACCCCCCACCTTCTTCAATTGTTTATTACCTCCTTTTTTTTTGTTCGATTTTTGTTTTTTTTTATAAAAAAAAATGAATTGAGTATCTAATCTAATAGGCGAATACCCCGATCGGTGATTATTGTTGGATCATGGGGTGTTGAATAACGTTAATGCAGAAATGGTGAGTGAGTATTTAAATAATTGCTATTGCAAATTACCATGCGGCCTTCGGACATATTGTCGCGGTGTTGTTGTTTTTGGGCCACAAGCGTTGTCGTTAAAGCCCACTCTGAGCCCAACTAAATTAAACGGGCCCATTTAGCCCCTCGTCACTGAATTCAATTCGATAATTAATAAACATTAAAGGGAGTATTTTTTTTTTTGGGTAAAAACGGCATTTTATATTTCATAAAATCCGGTTTTACCGGTGTAACCTCGAAAATCAATCAATTTTTTTTTTGTTGATCGGATATTCTGTACCAAGCTCTAGACTAATAGCGGAATCGAAAACCACCCATGTGATTTAGATCATACGTTTTTCTCCCAAACTTGAGGTTCGAACTCGGGATAGAGGCGTTTCATCGTTGAAAAACCTAAGTTTGGATCAAATCAATCAACTTGGATAGAAAGAAATATAAATACCAAGCGGCAAACAGCATATAAAATAGAAAATTATACCATGATTCATCAGCTTGTCCCTGGATCCTGATCAAAGCCCAAACCAATTCCACAGCTGAAAGTGAACAAGCTCTTCTACAAATAGGATGTCTTGACTGACTTAACAGACATCTTTCAAGAGAACGAAAGCTCAGTCCCCGGAAAACGGCTCCGATCGATGGAACCATCGGGCAAAATACCCGAGTCTAGGCTTCCATCTCGGTCCCCTCGGTTCTTTTATAGGTGAATCGAATCAGGGGTCTATCAGATTTCAATTTCCTCTTCAAAAGATTCATCTGACCAGGGAGTGGGTTCTTCCTCGAGCCAGACGAAACACTGAATCTAAAGGGTTTGTTTCTGGAAGACAAGTCTGTCACATTGCAGTAGAATTCAAACTTTCAAGATGTCTATATAGATACCTAAGAGCAGCAATCAAATTTTGAACACTGAAACAGCTGATTGAAGCATTACCACATATATATATATATATCCAGTGGTTTGCAGGTACGATTGTACAGTCAGAAACGTTATAAGCCGAAAGGAAAAGGAGTGATCAGAGAACCTATCGTCTCAGACAAGGCATTTATACAAGCAAAACTCGGCCATCAATCTTTGGTTCTCATTAGTTCCCGGAGATAAGAACAGAGCTAAGTAACAGACACCCATGTCGGAGACAACGATGACAGTGACGCAAGAGGGGGAGGAAAACTTACGATAACCCTCGTCGGAGCTTTTCAATGGCGGCGTAAAGTTTCCGCCTTGACCCAACTGCTGATATCCCCATATCTTTAAGGTCCTCCAATGTCAGCATCGGAAGAACCTCATCGTCGACCTCATGAATCTCGAAAACCGGGGCGTATCTGCTCAACCCTAACTCGATCAACCAAGACATCACTCCCTCGTTATTATTGCCTCTCGAATCCGATTCCCTCGGATTGTAATCCAGTTCGTTGTTCGAAACCCTAGCCCGACCCAGATCAGGATTCGATCTCCGTTGTCCGTTCCAGACATCGAGAGGCTCGTTGTTGAGGGACTGAACAGGGCTGTCATAGTCGGGATCGAAATTCCTAAAGCCATCTTCTCCTTCTTCCCGACTGTTAGATCCTTCGTTGTCGGGTTTGGCCGACGACGAGACCCAATTGGATCTCACCTGCCTCGTGGTCCCTCTCCTCGCCTTGGCTTTCCTGTACCCGAAATCGAGGCCGTCGCGTCCATTGTCGTTCTGATTGTTCCTCTCCTCTGGCGGCTCCCGTGCGTGGGGGTGATCGAATCTGTTGCCGTTGACGAGATTGGTGATCGAACGGGCCTTGACGGATGACTTGGAAGACGAAGGATCCTTGTGGTTTCTCCATGGAGGGAAGTTCTGCGGCTTCGTCCGTCGGACATGGGAGTCGTAAGAGAGAGCGGCGGGTTGGTCTCCGATGTCGCCCAAACGGACGCTGGGGCGGCGATTTCGCTTCGGGGGCGGCGGAGGCAACGCCGGAATCGAAGCGGCGGAGATGACAGGGAGAGGGGCTTCCGATGATTGGTGAGGAACTGCGTCCATTTACTACGGCAGTCAGTGTGGGGACTGAGTAGTGAACGTGCGAGTTACCGAGCAAGGTCTTGTTGGGCGGATCGGTGTTATCCGGATTGATGTGACAAGATTCGCTCTATCACCGTGAAGCCCGTCTAGCTCAGTTGGTAGAGCGCAAGGCTCTTAACCTTGTGGTCGTGGGTTCGAGCCCCAGCGTTTACATTTTTCTAAGGTATTTTTTTACCCTATTTCGAAACATGTACTTTCAAATATGGCACATGAATCGGCCCGATTCAATCGAGTACCCGAAAATTGGATATTTATTTATCGACGTAGCAAATATGGGTTGGATGATAACGGTAACCTGTGTTTCATTTCCAGGTTCGGATGTTAGCCGACAAAAACCCGCATCCACGGGTATTCGTTTCATCTCCAGTATCTACGATGATCCTAATGATTAGGATTTCATCGTGTTCCGACGCCTCGTCTTTGTCCCGTATGAGTCTCCGTCCGACACCTCGTCTCATCTCTAATGTCGCCTTTTTTCTTTTTTCTTACCCCATCCCTCGAGCATTCGAGATGCTCACGATATCCAAATCTCAGATATACAAACGATACGAATATGGGGACGGATTTAGATTCCTGAAACTGAAAAACACGAATTTGGAATCGAATATCCCAAAATCACGGATACCCGACAACATCCTATGACTAGATCGCACTATTCAAGCATGTCTAGAATCCTATGGTATTGCATTATCCACACCACGTTTGACAATATATACAAGCAGGTTCAAGTATGGTTCCGACAGAGATCACCAGTAATCGTTGCAAGAGCATTGTCCTTGCCGGAAATGGTGGAATCTCCTCGAATCCCGAACGATGATTTCTCGACCTGTTACCGAAGAAACGCGTTTCGCAAACTCATGGCAATCACTGCACGCCCGGAGATTCTTGAACACCCTTATAGGGGCATCACCTGTCACCGATATCAGCCCGAAAGCGATGGCGAGTCGCTCGCTATGATCAAGAAGTTGCTCTCTCCTCTCGGGGAAACCACACCGAAACCCGTCACCTTTCCCGAAATCATCGAACTCCTTCAGCTTCGCATAGATCTGCTCGGTTTTCGGGTGGTGTTTATCGCCCACGATGAACCGATGGCACCTACCATTGATACTAATCCAACTACAGCTAAGCTCCTTCTTTAGTTTCCTCTCGGCCATTAACTTTCTCATCTCGGCAGCTTCTTCCCACATCCCGGCCGCTGCATAGAGATTGAACGGTAGAATATATCCTGCGGTATCTTTTGGGTCAAGCCGTCGAAGTTCTTCACCCACAACTTTCCCGAGCTCTAGATTCTTATGAGTCCAACACCCACTTAGAAGACATTTCCAACTCATTGCGTCAGGTTCAAAAGGCATGCCCTTCATAAACTCGAAAGCTTCATCTAATTTCCCAGCACGAGCATATACATCGATCACACAATCGTAGTGGTCGATGGTTGGACCGACATTGTATTTACTAAGCATCGTCTCCAAATAATTCCTGGCTTCTCCAATGAGACCTGCATGACTGCAAGCTGTTAAAACCGCGATAAATGTAACTCCATTCGGATTTATACCACAACCCACCATCTTCTCGAACAAACTCAGTGCTTCGTAGGCATTTCCATAGTAAGCTTGGCCCGATATAAATGCTGTCCAGGCGACAGTATCGGGTCTATCTATTGATTCGAAGGCTTCACGGGCATAGTCTAATCTGCCACATTTCGAGTACATTGTAATCAAAGCGCTCTTACCATGTAGAGATCGGATTAGACCTCGTTTTATCGCATCTGCATGAACTTGAGCGCCGGTATTGCAATCTGCACATGATGAACATGCTTGGAATATGCTAGTGTAAGTGAAAGAATTAAGAACCATATCCTCGTTTCTTAAAGACTTGAAGATGTTAATCGCCTCCTCGAATTGACCCACTTGGCAGTATCCTGAGATTATCGAGCTCCAGGAAACATCGTTCGGTTCATGAATTGCTCCGAATGCACGAATTGCTGACTCAAAGTTTCCGCATTTGTTGTAGAAATCAACTAGCGGGGTTCCAACCGAAGCATCAGACTCAATCCCGAGCTTAGCCACACGGGCATGCACTTGTCTCCCGAGACTAAACTCTTCCAAAGAGGCGCATGCCTTGAGAACAATTGAAAACACGAATCCGTCCAATTCGATACCTTCCCTTATCGAATCCAGAAACAGTTCTAAAGCATATCTCTCTCTTCCAGCTTGAGTATAACCCACCATTAAACCCGTCCAAGCTACTGGTTTCTTTACTACCATCTGGTCGAACACTAGCTTCGCACCAGCTAACCAACCACATTTCACATACATGTTCAAGATCCCTGTCTCGATAGAGGCATTGCTACTCAACCCAGATCGTATAACATGGGCGTGAACTTGCTTACCGATGTCCAAAACAGAAGGGTTTGTCAAGGATTTCAAGAGTGTTGTATAAACGGAAGAACTCAATTTGCTTCTTGACTCCATGATTCTCGTGAACAAGCAAAGAGATTTATCCAACAAACCATGTTCCGCGTAAGCAGACATCATTGTAACTATGCAAGAAACCGCGTTTCTGTGGGGCATTTCGTCAAACACTCTCTGTGCTTCTTCTAAGCTCCCGCACTCACAGTACATCCGCAGAATACAGTTCTGAAGAAACCCAGATGGATTTTCCATAGTTCTTCGCATATGGTCATGCAAGAATCTCCCATCAGGTAGAGATTTCAATTCTCTGGAAGTCTCCAGTAGACATTCGTAAGAACGCGGGCTGATGGAGACACCAGCCTTGTCCAGTTCCTTGAAAAACTCAAACGCCTCCTTCAGCTTCCCTTGCCTCGACAACGAAACCAAATGCAAATTCTCGACTTGACCTTGCTTATGCGAGATTTTTGCAGAAGAATCTCTCCGTTTGAGCGAAACCCATGACGGAATCTGATCGAAGTTGGCATTCTTTCCCAACCGGATTTGAGAATTTACATCGAAGGCAGACGAACTTGAGGAATTGCACGAGGGGTTCAGACAAACGATCGCCATTGTCGAAGCAAAAAAAATACGAACTTTTCTGAATTTTTGGAGATCGTAAAGAGTGAGAAGCGGCTGAAGAAGCGGAGTTTTTTTGACAGCAACAGAACATAAGTGTCGCAAAACGACAATGTTTTATAGTTCACAAATTTCAAGAACGGCCTATTTTGGTGTCCCCTCGATACGATATTTTGTCCAAAATGATTTGCGCGACTTCTCCTCCACTTTCCTAAATCTGTCGAAACAACCAAACCCGACGTCTCCTCCAATGGCGGCGATTAGGGTTCGATACCTTAACCATGCACCTTCCTCAAGGTGGTCGCATTCCCTCCACCGGAACTCGCCCTCGCCTCTGCTCTCTCCGAATCGCGTAGGATTCGCCGCGTTTGGGTCTCGGGAGCTCTATCCCGCCGTTGGAGATGTATGCAGACGCACGCGTTTGAGCTTGAGGAGCTGCAGAGGAGCTGTTCGAGCGGTGTTGGAGGAGAGCAAGACGGAGACGAAAGCAGAGACGGAGGATGAAGAGAAGGGTTTCACGTGCGTGATGAAGTTCGGTGGATCGTCATTGGCGTCAGCGGAGAGGATGAAGGAGGTGGCCGATCTGATTCTGAGTTTCCCTGAAGAACGGCCCGTGGTTGTCCTGTCTGCAATGGGGAAAACCACCAACAATCTCCTCCTTGTAATGCTGAAATCTTCTTACTTTGATCAATTTCTTCTACGTTCAATTGTTATGAACCAGACAGGAACCTGGGGTAGTCTGCATTTGGATGAATCTTACGTATCGCTGCATATATTTATAAGAAATTCATTGTTGCTCGTGAAGGCGGGGGAGAAGGCTGTAAGCTGTGGTGTTTCTCGTGCATCTGAGATAGAGGAGTTGGTCATTATAAAGGAATTGCATCTCAGGTTCTTGTTTTGTGGAACCATGGCTAATTAGCTTGTTTGACTGCATCTTTTATGGGTTCTGATTACAAATCTGCTTGTTGTTTCAGGACTGTGAAAGAACTCGGGGTTGACTCGTCTGTTGTTTCGTGTAAAGACTGCTTCTTTTGCATAAAACTCTGTTCTTTAATCTTGCTAGGCTTTGACACCCGTGTAATATAGTTTAAAGTTTCATTCTTTGCGCTTTTTTCTGTGCTTATATCGTTCGTTTGTTTCGTTTGTGGTGAGTTGGTGCCATTTGAGTTTATGTGCATTGCATTTTCTGATAAAATTTTCAGCCTTTTTGGAAGAATTGGAGCAACTCCTGAAAGGCATAGCCATGATGAAGGAGTTGACACTAAGAACCAGAGATTACCTGGTCTCCTTTGGAGAGTGCATGTCTACGAGGATCTTTGCAGCATATCTCAACAAAATCGGTGCCAAGGCCCGTCAAGTACGTTACCACTATGATTTGAGTCATTTCTCTACTCAACATCTCGTGTAGATTTGTTCACTCGCCTTTGGATTTGCAAACAGAGCTAAACAGATTACCGACCCATGATTTTTTTTTGCAGTATGATGCGTTTGATATCGGTTTCATAACAACCGATGATTTCACAAATGCGGATATCTTGGAAGCAACTTACCCAGCTGTTTCCAAGAGATTATATGATGACTGGATCAGCGATCCTGTTATTCCTGTTGTAACCGGTTTCCTCGGGAAGGTATATCGCTAGAAGTTGACCCAACTACACATTATACCCGGGAATTTCTTTTTCATACTTTTCTTGCCAATGTGATAGGATTTGGAACCCTATCATTTCCGTTTCTTTTGGAGTCCGGATAATAAAATGCCAAAGCCTATATTGTCTATCACAATGTTCCGTTCAATTACAGGGCTGGAAAACTTGCGCCGTTACTACGTTGGGTAGGGGCGGCAGTGATTTGACTGCAACGACGATTGGTAAAGCCTTGGGTTTGCGAGAGATTCAGGTCAGTCGTTACGCTTGGATTCAGTATGGTGTTGAATTCGGCTTGTGTTTAATATTTTTTTTTCATTGAAACAGGTCTGGAAGGATGTTGATGGTGTTTTAACCTGTGACCCGACTATTTATAAACGGGCTGTACCAGTTCCGTATCTAACATTCGATGAAGCTGCCGAGCTTGCTTATTTTGGCGCACAGGTATTGCACCCACAGTCCATGAGGCCAGCAAGAGAAGGCGATATCCCCGTTAGGGTTAAGAATTCTTACAACCCTAAAGCTCCCGGAACTATTATCACTAAAGCAAGAGACATGACTGAGGTATTGTCTCCAAAATTTCGTGTTTTATTTGCTATGTTTATGTGAGAAAGGTAACACTTTAACGGGAAACTCGAATATTTGTTTCTTCCCCCCGTCACAGACTGTTCTTACGAGCATAGTTTTGAAACGCAATGTGACCATGCTGGATATAGTTAGCACCCGAATGCTTGGTCAGGTCGGTTTTCTTGCAAAGGTAAGAGCCCACGCTTCTTACACCGTTTTCTAGCGTCGGTAGTAATTTTTTCTAATGTCGATATTTAACAGATCCTTCCTATCTTGTTTTCTTGGATCAGGTATTTTCAATATTTGAAGAACTGGGCATTTCCGTGGATGTTGTCGCCACTAGTGAAGTCAGTCTATCTCTGACATTGGACCCGTCGAAACTATGGAGCAGAGAACTGATTCAACAGGCAAGAAAGCCATTCTTATATCTCCACAAACTTAAGATCGTCCGAGAAATGCACCATTTGTAGACAAAAAAAAAACTTTTTTTTTCCTTGTTCTAGGAGCTTGATCATGTGGTTGAAGAGCTGGAAAAAATTGCGGTGGTGAATCTCCTACGAAGAAGAGCAATCATCTCTCTCATCGGGAACGTTCAACACTCCTCGCTAATTCTTGAGAAGGTTATTTAGTAATTTCCATCCCGCCCCAATCACTTCCAAAGCCTCTCTTACAAAGAAAGATCCTGTCTTTCTGCCTTTCTCTCGCCTAACTGTTTTCGCTCTTTTTCAGGCATTTCATGTTCTTCGGACAAAAGGTGTCAATGTCCAGATGATATCACAAGGAGCATCAAAGGTTGTTAATACCCACAACACAACACTGTTTTATCGCAACACTTTCTTTCTGTCGCTACCCGACCCGAATGAGTTCCGGTTCTGTTTTATGCAGGTGAATATTTCCCTAATAGTAAACGAGGACGAGGCTGAAAGATGCATCGAGGCCCTTCATCAATCCTTCTTCGAAAGCAACGATCTTTCCGAGTTATTGGTAAAACCCGGATATGGCAATGGTTCACATATTACGACGGTTCAACTAGAAAATTGAATCTGTCCCCTAATGGCTTCTGCATCATCATTTTTGTGAGGTGTTTCTCAGCAAGTTCGTTTCTCGCTGAGCCTTCATCGTGTTGTGCTAACATGTACGTGCCTGTTTACATTGGGCGAGAACTGAATGCCGTTTTGCATTCGTGCAAGCGGAATGCGTGCCGTTTTGCATTTAAAAAAACCTTGGGTTTTGTAGGTGTGATGTGATGCACAAGGAACTGACATTGTACTTCACATTCAGAACCATTTCATTGTAACATTTGCATCAATAATCTTACCAAAGGCATTGCTACAAAACGTATTGTGTTACAAACGATATAAACAACAGATGCTTATATGTTCTAACTGGTTTTCTTGAGTGTGGAAACTTGTAGGATAGGAGTGGACACGTGTCGGGTATTGAACCTCGGTCTCGCCTCTCGGGTTTTTTGGACGGACTATGGTGCAATGAGGATTCGGATATCTATATAATCTCTGGCCGAAAAGCAGTTAGTCTGCGAGCGAAAAACCCGAAAAACTCCTCTCCTATCCGCTCGACTGTAGATACATGTACTCATCGGTTGAAACCCGAACCCAATCCAGTTCTTGTCATCGCGATGTATCCATACTCGTGTTCCTCATTAGACAGATTGAGAATTTGGACAGCAAATGTCAAGAAACCAAACGTCCATTAAGACAAAAGATTAACAAACTTTACAAACAGAACAAAAGTAAAAGCTTAAGACTGACCGTGTCAATATACACACATCGCGTTACATTACATTACACCGAGTAACAACACATCAACATCAACTCCACAATCAGGAAAAAAAAAACACACACACAGGCAGAGATGGTTACATTGATTTCAGTGACATAACTTAAGGTGCAAGCAATCTGGGGTGACATACCATGTGGAGCAAGCAAAGGTGCAAAAGCTTGAACGGAAATAGCTTTAGATGAGAAAGCACAAGAGAGAGGCTCTTACCATATAACCTCAACTATGTTTTCTGCCATCTCTAACAAAAACCCGATTCAACCCTGATGGATCGATTATATACCGAGATCTTAAAACTCGGAAACATTAACAGTATCAGCAAACATGCTTCGTGGTTTTACCCGTTTGATTCTGACAGAAGAGAAAGCACTTCTGTGTCGGTAAACTTGCACTCTGCTGCTATGTCTAGAGGGGATTTGCCTTCTCCGTCCACAGCTTGCGGATCTGCTCCCCTGCAAATTCACCCATAATACGTTTTAAAATTATATGGCCATTTCAAAGTAAAGATCAATGGGTGGATACAGGTCGAGAACCCGAGATTTCCAGGGTACCTAACCCAAATATCTCGGGTTGTATGCCTCGTTACCTGACCTTGTACCTGTGGATTCGAGTACCCGGACTTGAATACCCAATAGACAATATCTGGGTATCGGCGAGATACCCAAACGTAAATATTTCCAACAATTTTCAATCAAATTTTCAAGTAAACATCCATTACAAATTCATCTGAAGCCAATCCAGAACATATTTACATCCAAAACCTATGCAAAGTCCACCAAAACTCAACCTAAATCTAACCAACACTTACCACTTATAACCATTAAAAAGAATATATATAAAATGGCATTTCCGTAAATACCTTTAAACCCTAAAGGTAACAGGCTAGTTTTGTGTTATCCCTGGATACCCAGATGTGTATCTCGGACTCATACCCCAACCCGAATTTTCGGGTTTTCTAGAACTATTACCCGGTCTCATGTCTCATCTACCCGGGTACCCGAAATTTGGACGATATGTGGCACAAATGAGAAAACAAGTCACCTGGCGAGAAGTAATCTTGCCAAAGCAGCTTTGCTTCCGAGAATACAACAGTGGAGCGGTGTTTGACCACTTGAATCCGTGGCGTTTATATTTGCACCGCACTGCAGTAGAAGTTCAACCATCCCGATATCCGCCTTTTCACACGCGCAGTGGAGCAACGAACATCCGTTGAAATCTTCGGAGCTTTGGCCCTCGCTAGCCTCGGGAATATTCGAAGAGCTATTGCTGGAGGATCTATCCAATAAGTCACCCCTTAATCTGAACAAACCATCCTCATGATTCTTTGTTCGAGGCTCTGGTATTAACATCACTTTGGCAAGCGTTAACGAAGCATTAGAAGATGGTCGGTTATACACGTGATTCACATCCGCTTCACCATTTACGATAAGCCTGTATACAGCTTTCTTGTCATTAGCACATACCGCCTCCCGAATTTGTTGAGCAACTGACCGAGGGAATTCGCAGTCTCTTGGTTTCCGGACAAAAAGCTTTTCAGCATACTGAAAGGTTAATGGCATATGATAGAGGTTAACGAATTCCGAAAGAAACAATCTAGTGGGGAAATATGAACACAAACAGTAGTTATGAAAGTTTAAACCTTAGCATGTATGTACTTCTCCTTTATAGAGATCGAATCAGCATAGTTGGGCTTGCCAAGAATTCGGGGCTTATCAGATCTGCACAAACTTTGCGAATAAAATAATGAATACTTACTAACCACTAATACTTGGGCTAAGAGAGCAGTCGTCTCAATCACGAATGAAGTGTTTACCCGGTGAAGCCCAGTTCGACTCGGGCGCTCCTTGAATGAAGTAGTTCCTCCCAGACCGAGTTTGCAAAAGTATTGCCGAGAGCCTGGAACAAACTTATAACGGAAGGCTCCCACACTCTCACGTCAAGCATAAGTGACCGAATCTGTGGCAGTAGCCGAAATGCAAGAGCATATCTTTCATGACATGGGGTTTGTTGAAAGTAGAAAGTTAAGGAATCTAACCATTCTAGTTCAGATTCAGAATCTTTATCAAACCGTGGCGATCTATATAACGCTAGGTGAAACCATAAGGCCCTGACAAAACCCAACTTTCTTACGGGTTCTTCTTAGTTATAAACTTATAAAACATCCATACGTTTTCTAAGAAAAAAGTTTACCTTGGATATGTGCACACCAAGATTACGGTGCACACCGGAACACTCGATGCAGACAAGAACACCGAGATTTAAGGAGGCCCAGTCTGGTTCTGGAGCTCCACAATCTGCGCATTTGTCATTCCCACAGACTTTCCGCAAAACGTCAATGAGCTTCTCGCCCTTTAAAATGGATCGTTGCGGCTGAAAACTTCTCGATGGTCGTTCATGGTGGTGTCCAGCAAAGCCCCTATCACATGCATATTCTTCGGTGGCAATATGATCATATTCGGAACTTTCATATGAGCTACTCTCACTAGCAGACCGATGGTGACCACTTCCCATGGGACTACCGGGAAGACACTGAAATGCAACCAGAAGGGGAGTCATCAAAATCGGATAATTATCAATCGCAACGTCATGCAAAAAGGGTTTTAAGTAATCATAATACTCACCCTCTCAGGGACCTGAGAGCTGAGTAACGAGGCAATAACCCCGGTGATCTTTTCTATCCAATCCATTTGATCGAGTGCACTCTCTGCCTGCACTGACAAGCATAAGCTAACATCGAGTAAAAGATACCAACAGTGACCAGCAGAATGCAAAAGCCAAAAGGTTTAAGCAGCAACAAGTAATCCAAGTCATACCTGCAAAGTGTAACTTTTCGAAGGTGAAATGATTCTGAAACAAAACCTCAGATCCGACTGATCAGCATCGACTTTGATCGTCGACGTAAGCAAGTTGACCGTGTGACGGGCAACAGATTTCTCGTCATGTACTCCACCATGATTATTAGAAGACAGCCACCTACTCAGAAGTCCAGACCCAAGCTCCGAGCTATTTCTCTGCCCAGAAAGCTGGTTGCCCGAACTCTGAACAATAACGGAGAAAATCTTAGCTAAACTATAAACTTTAACTCTTTAATACAGAAGTTATATCCATCCCTTCAGCTTTTGTGACAAATTAAATGTAAAGACAAAATGCGGCACTCACAGATGGTTTGCTACACTGCTTGCGGTAATAATACAGCATTCCCCGACTATCAAGAACAAAAAACCGCCTTTTCCAGTCTCCTCTCAGATTTGAAGACCGTTTTGAGAGATACCCTTGTCGTATCGTTTGAACCTGAAGTACCGAGGCACCGAGAAACATCAATAACCGTCTCAGGAATCATGGCTCTTTCGTACGTGAGAAAATTCTTTACTAGACCTTGCCCTTTGCAGCAGATTGCATCACCGCTTCTATCATTTTGTGGGAACTTCTACCGATGGTTTGTATGCCATCTCCATTTGGAGATCCATTAGAGCCATTCGAAAACCACCTACTCTCTCGATCGACCTGCCTTTTGTATTCCTGCATCTTCTCGTTAAGAACTGCCTGTTCGTAGTTTGATCTTTCCCTGGATTGCTGCGCGTAAGTCAAAACCTGCCACCGATGGGAAAAAAAGCTCATTGGTATAAATATGTTCCAGAAGGAAATTCTCTAAAGATTAAATTTTAATAGAACTAGTTTGAGGAGGCACCTGATTGATATATGGCTCCATCTGATGCAGTAACTCGTACCCCTGAAAGCAACCGTATTTAGATTAGGCACAAACATTGTTATCACACTCGAGGACATTCAGAAGGAACCCTACAACACTTACCTGTTTGAAGTAACGGAGATGTGCATCCATTGTCCCGCTGACTGCTTCAAGAAATTCGAACCTTTTCTTGGCTTCGACGTTTGAAAGAGCAGTCACCTGAGCACGGCAAAGAGCGGAAAGAAAGTTTATTCCAACCAGGGCATGAAAATGACCGGAATATAGAGACGTAAGGAAACAAACAATCAAGATCAAACAAAGAACCGTACCAGGTTGAACCGAGCCTGCTCAAACGCAGATCTTGCAGTATGAAGTTCCTGATATTGTCACATATGTATTAGTGACAAATCACAGAGATTATATATATATATATATACACATTTGAGAAATGATGAAATTGAGTAATCCATGCACCATACCCGTTCTAAAGCAGCAGCCACATCACTTCTCGTACCTTTCCTCAAAGATAGAAACCTTTCACGGGCCTAAGGCATGATTGTGGAAGGGAATCCATCAATTTCTCAATACACAATTCACCGCATAGACATGCTATATCGGTTCAAAACAGAACTATAAGGAGCCTTCCAAATTATGCAATATGATTCCTAATTGTTAACGCTGACATAAAAGTGAACAGGTAAGGTGTCTTTAGGTTTCTATGCAGCCTCCACAACACAATGGAGTTCATCATCATCATCATATCGTGTGCCTTCTCAGTAGCTAGTACTCACTTAAGCAAATGGGAATCAATTATCTTTTACAAACCTGTTCTAGCTAGCCCAAGACATGGCAACATAGTAAACGAAAACGTAAAACAAACCTGGTCATAGATAAGGCTTGCCTTGTCGAAACGCTTCCGAGCTTCCTGCAGTAAGAAATAATCTTTCAAGATTAGGAAGAGCCACAATTAATGGCAAGAAGAAAGCAAGCAAAGATGTACCTTGACATCATGCAAGTCAATGTTGGCAAACTGGAGCAATCGGTCATTCAATATATTCTCCACCTGAACATAAGAAGTTTGCCAAATATTAAAAACCAGAATCGACGAAATCTTCCGAACTAGAGATTCAGGCAATTCTTAAGGGAAAAATGAAAATGAAAAAGAAAAACAGCAGCTAGAACATAAATCAAATTCTGTATACCTGTGACCGAAGAACTTCCTTATAAGTTCCAATTTCTCTCAATGCGATCGTAAATTTGGTCATTACTGGTCCTGTGCAGCCAAGAAAGTGTCAATCAACATTTTTGGCAAGCCTACCTTCATTTCAAAGTTTCAACTATAAACCATTTCCACCAAGTGAAGCCATTCCATATCGAAAAGAAAGAGAGAAGAGGAATATGGCATCTCTCCATGTGATTTTATGTAGGTGATTGTTTGTTAGGAATTTCCACATGCTAACAAAGGGTCATACCTCCAAATGCGACGCTTATTGGATCGTTATGCCCTCCACCAAATGTTTCGAGGGCGCTTGCAAAAGCAATGTCTCCATCATACCCCTCACCAAGACCTTCACTGCCAGAGGAATATGCATTCAAATTCCATTATCAGGTATGTCCTAATGACTCTTTATGGGAGAAGAAACCCGAAATGCACAAGAAAAATCAAGAGAGACAAGCTAAAAATTTAAAAGCATACGTGTATTTACGACATCCTTTGTAGAACCTGAGACTTCTTTCCCGCAATATTTCAGCACTTTCCTCCAAGCTTTGTAACTGTATCCGACAAAAAAAAAAACTGTCAATGTGTATGGTTTCTGGCGAGCCAAACCTCGTGCAACAAAGCCAGACAAGCACAAGCTCAAGACAGACGGATTCTTTTTCAAGAATTGCAAGGCAAAAGTACATCAATGGAAGGGGAATAGACAACGAAACACAAGCAATCCGAAAAAGACACAAAAGGTTTATGTTTTAGGCTCTTAAACGCACAACGAAACCCAAACATCTGTGAATCAGATCCATAGCTTTTTCACAGTTCACTCAAACCTGTGACTGATCCACAAGCTGAAACATGAACAAGCTGCAAAACTAATATTTCTAAATTAAGTTCTTACAAGCAAACAAATTCAGAAGAGTGCCAATCGAACACCAACTGAAACATCGAATGGAGTTCACAGTTTTAAGAGAGACGGAAGCAAAGATCTCAACTAGCAGTTGGCTAGTTTCTGCATATAAATGTCAGGGAAAACCTAAAATTCCGAAGTCTACCAAACCTCAATGGCTCCAAATTTGCATCTATTCAACTGGAAAAGTGATCAATCATTCCCTAATATTACACAAATCAACAAAAACATGTCAAACACACCAAGACAAACACAGACGGACAAATCCAAGGTACAAAAAGACGATGAGACAGAACCTGTTTGCGAAACATAGGAGAGTCGTCAAGCTTCGCGAAAGGCATTTTGAGTGCGAACCCACTTCCTCTTCTTCGCAACAAACAGCAATTACCATCACACGGTGACCAGAAAACTAAACCACTACCATCGCTATCACAGCCGCCATGGATGAGCGCAGAAAAAAGTGAGATCCTCTCCTTAAGCTCAAAAACGTCAGACTCGAACAGATTATCTTCAACTACAGCTTCCCTGTCGGAAGCTCGAATCCTGCTGTCGGATTGGTACTTTCCTTTTTTGGACTGGCTTTTTTCCCCTCAGAGAAATCGAAGAAACAAGAAAACAAGAGATTTTCGGGAGAAGACAAGGAACAAGGAACAAGGAACTCAAGACTGTTCCGTATTAATTCACCCGAAAACGAGACGGTCGATGGAAACTACGTCGTTTTGTTACTGCGGGAAAGTCGAGGGCTTTGGCCGGCGACGGCGTCGTTTTGTGAGTGTACACCTCACACATGAAGCAAAGTGTAAACAGAGGGGGAAAGCGAAGCAAGAGAGGGGGAACAGTGGTCGTCAACCTGAGACTCACGCGCCACGCGCTAGGTCGCGCGTGGCAAAATTATATATATTGTAAGACTAATGGCTCGGAGCGCGTGAGTACACAGGAAGAGGTTTCCTATGGCGTCTTGGAGGATGTGGGACCCAATCTGGGTTTGCCTCTCCATTACTTTTGTTCGGAGAGACAGGGAGGTCAAGTGGGGTGTAAATGATTACTGTTTTTTTTTAATTTTAAAAATATCTGATTGTAAAAATAAAAAAGCGGGAAATAATTGGAACATTTACCGTTCGGCATCTTTTAGAGATTTTCTAATATAGTGAATGATCTGAATATGCTAAATTTGGTATAAAAGGGAACTTTGAAAATTTTAAATCAAGACCTTATATAATTTTAAGAAAACCGATATTTAATTTCCGTTATTTATATTTTACAATTTTTTTAGACCATCAAATTATTATTGTAGTCGTCCTATGTTGGGTTTTTTAATGGTTATAAATTGGGAAATATTTTTGGATTTATTAAGATAAGACACCACATACGATTTAGGTAGAACACAACATGGGCCCATGGGCTCCAATGGGCCCCATCGTGCAATAAACACCGACAATTAAAATACTTGTAAACTTATTAAGCCGTATAATTACACGCTGAATCTAAGCCGAATCTATAGAGTTTATTTTTCACTCATTATGAAAAATGAATCGAATCGAATTCAAAATCTATTAAACCCCTATTATTTATTATAGCATGGGTTATTCTCCACCCAAACTGCTAACGTTGAGAAATATATAAATGGGCCGAAATTGGGCCTCGTAGTTGGGATTTCCCGTCATGCCCCCAGCTCGATATGGAAAGTTTACGAAAATACCCCTATGGAAATTCAAAAACACACCTCTCAATTAAATCCCCCCATCTTGATTCTTGATATCTCGCCACGCGGTTTTTGTCTTGATAAACACATTTTATTTTCTCACAAGTCGAATCGGAAGGAGGAGAGGATTTCTCCGATGGCGTCGCGGGATCCTCCGAGTTGCTATTTGCCCAGATCGCGTCGCTAAAGTCTTCGGATCCATCGCCTTCTCTCACTCGCCGACGTCGTTGTGGACTCTACCGACGGAGATGTGGAGAATCGGGCGTGGAAGCGGGACAAGATCAGCACTCGGTAGTCTGCCTTGGATAGTCTTCGAGCGCTGAGTGGGAAACCCAGGTAACGTACAGGTAGTGTCTCTCGACTGATTCCAGCAACTTCTGAGACCTGATCAGCCTCGTTGTCCGACATCCCTGCAAGGAAGATTTCAGATTTTGATTGGTTTACTTGTAGATCAGAAAACTGAGTGAACTCCTGCAGAATGCGATTGATCTCCTCGATCGATTGGATGTCCCCCTCGGAGAAGATCATAATGTCGTTCGCAAATAACCGGGTTCGAGCAGCGGGTCCCCTGCCGTAAACCTCGACGTCCTTTGAAGTAGCCAACCAATTTCAGACAATGAAACCAGATGGCCGAGGACTTTTGCATTATTGACATGCAAGTATAATTTTTTTATTATGGTTAGAATCCTAAATTTTAATTGCTTTTTTCATTTCATCATCCGAATATTTTTTTTTTTTACTTTTTTCTCTTAAAAGTAGATCATGCATGACACTAATAATCCTTCATGTGTCGGCCACTGATCTCTTCGTCGCCTCTCTGAATTCCAAGTTTAATTATCAATAGCAAAGGAAAACAATGAGTTCGAGCTTTGATTTCAGCGGCAGAGATGTCGACATGAAGGTTCTTGAGGACATGACGACGAATGCAAAGCAAATACAAGACGACATATTGGAGGAGATTGTAACAAGCAACATGAACACAGAATACCTTCGACGGTGATCGGTTTGATAAAGAGCTCTTCAAGAAGAAGGGTCCTGCTGCTAACTACGAGGGTGCAAGGCCTTATATTCAACGTATTTTCGATGGAGAACCCTCAGATATGATTTCAGCTAAACCCATAATGTATATAAACGTTCAGTTTGTATGTGTAATGTGTATTAGTTTTGTTGTTATGAAACTAGTTATTTGGTGCTATAGTTCTGGAACTTCAGGAGGAGGGCAAAAGCCGATGCCTACGAACGACAAGTACTTCAAGAACATGAGATTCTTCTATGATCTCCGCATGCCTGTTATAAGCAAGTATCATTGTTAAGCTTTTGCTTTTCTTATCTCTCGTGGTATGGACTAGGAATCTGAAGTTTGGTGATAGATCCTTTAGAAATTAGCGAATGGGAACCGTGGTGATAACTCTTTTTTTTATCGCATCCTAGGCATGTTGAGGGTGTCGAGCAAGGAAAGGGGATGGTGTTTTTTATTCAGTTATCCAGAAACGAAGAATCCGTGTGGTTTACCAACTATGGCTGCAGCAAGCAGCTACCTAAAGTCTGATTATTTCAAGAGCCGGCGAGCGAACTGGTACTATTCTTACACAAGCCCTTACGAAGTCATCCTTTGTCTAGACAATAAGCAGAGTATGTATTGCCTTTTGCTTTGTGGCCTGGTCTAGAGAAGCCAGGTTTCGGGGGTAGGTTCCATTTTTGCTTCTGGGTTAGTCCGTACGATCAAGTTTCTTGAACAGTATTGGGAAGAACTTTGTTCAAACATTCGATCCGGTCGAGTAAGCGATTGGATCACTGATCTCAGCTGTCGAGACTCTGTGGCTTTAATCCTTGGAGGCCCTCGTCTTGAATTGGCTTACGAGATAGAACAAGAATGCATACAAAAGTCATGGGAAGTTATAATCACTAGACGTTGGCCAAAAACAAAATAATTGAGACTTTAGTTACAGGCTCAATGGCACAATACATTCCAACACTGGAGTTCTACTGCAATGGCTTGCCTCTTGTTTCAATGGGATATGGCTCCTGTGAAACTTTATTCGGGGTGAATCTTGATCCTCTTTGCAAACCTCAGATCGTGTCCTACACAATTATGCCTAACATGTCGTACTTCGAGTTCTTGCCCGTGGACGGAAACCACGACGAAACAGTTGACCTTGTGGACGTGAAACTTGGTCGCTTCTATGAAGTTGTGGTCACAAACTTTTACGGTGAGCTTTTACTTCCCTTACTAATTACATATATTCACATTCTTCTTCTTCTGTAATCAAAATCTCTAATATGTGTTGTTACTATTCTTTTAGGTTTATACCGAAGTAGAGTGGGAGATATCGTACAAGTTACAGGTTTCTACAACAATTCACCGCAATTTAGATTCATACGGAGAGAAAACGTGGTTTTAAGTGTCGATGTAGAGAAAACCACAGAAGAAGATTTCTTTAAAGGGGTGGCTCGAGCAAAGATCATACTCGACTCCGTAGATATCATGCTGATGGATTTCACTAGCTATGCAGATGTCTCTAATGCCCCGGGCCGTTACATTTTTTACATGGAACTCAAGTCGAAAAACGAAGACGGTCATCCAAAGATCGGTGATTCGATACTAACGGATTGTTGCTTTGCAGTAGAAGAATCACTCGATGTTTTTTACAGAAGAATGAGAAGCACAGGTGGATCTGTAGGAGCTCTCGAGATAAGGGCGGTGCAGCCGGGAACATTCGATTCTCTGATGGAGTTTTTCATCTCGCAAGGTGCTTCGGCCGGTCAGTACAAGACGCCGAGAGTGATTAAATCTGCAAAGGCCTTAGGGTTGTTGGTAGATTCTTCAGCCAGAAATCCCCTTCTTATTGATGATTTATTCACTCCTTCCAAATTCATGATTTATTCCATACATTTGGTTGTACTGGTAAATGGCAGTCCGGTTGTTAAGAATATTGTACTGTGTATCCAAATCTGAGTATGAACATATGCAAAGTATATTTTTATTCCGCGTTTAAATCTAAGAGGGGGAGCGATATTCACCCGGATTTTTTTGAATTTTTGGGATACGTAATTAGATCACTAATTCTGATACATTTTCGGATTATAAAAAAATATTGTACGATTCATGGAAGTAATAAAATTTTCTGGTTTTGCCCAACATTTCATATATTGCGTTCTTATCGTTGATGTCATCAAATTTTCTGGTTCGATAGTTTGAATTCTTGATTGACAAACGATTTAGAAACGAGTCTGGTTTGTGAGTTAACTCGTTTTTACCGAGATGGATTGAAAAAATACGAACGAAACACCTCGCGAGTCGGGATATTTTTTTCAAAACAATTATTATTTTTAATATATATATATATATATATAAGAACCTGAGACTTCTTTCCCGCAATATTTCAGCACTTTCCTCCAAGCTTTGTAACTGTATCCGACAAAAAAAAAAACTGTCAATGTGTATGGTTTCTGGCGAGCCAAACCCCG